TCAATTGTTGATGCAATTTTACCTAGAAGCCAAAACACCTACCATCAGCATGTTAAATACCTCCCAATCACATAGAAATCAGTAGTAAAATAATGAGTTTAGGAATAAAAACTATTAAAGCCTCCACATAATGAGACTGTTACCCAAATACTTTTATTAGCATAGATAAAACTCATAAAGAAGAAACCAACGATGATCAATTAAGCTGACAGAAAAAAATATATTTATATACATTTTCAAAAAAATTATGTTTTTAAGTTCATAAAGAAACACAAAACATTCTACACAGATGATACTGTACTTCACAGTTTATAAGCAATTCTACATTTCATTCTTCTGACAACTCAGGTAAGCAAGGTATTATTCTTGCCTGCCTATAGCCTCCAACAGATACTACATGGGAAGGCGGAGAACCATATGTTATGTCCCAAATCCTCTGCCTCCATATCATAAGCCTTTTTTCATTATCCCACATCACATTATTCATTTGCACACGGTTTACTAAGAGCAATCACATTTCCTCTTTCCTTTGAGCATCTGTCCTGGAAATCTATGAAGCCTCTTGTATCTCATCCTATTAGGCAGGCAAAGCAGGGCATCAGTCTCTATTTACAGAAGACTTAGCAAGATCACGGATCCTTCTGAAGATGACAAAACTAATAAACACTAAAATTGCAGCATTATCCTGAGTAGGGCAACCCAACTCAAATGAGTCAGAAAACTAAGTAATGTGAAAAGTGACTGAAGGAATTAAGGATGATCAATTTAGAAAGGAGGGGCGAGTGACACACCCTCGTTAGACACGTGAAGGGCCACCACATAAAGGACTCAGATGTGTGCTGTATGGCGCAAGCAGTTAAAAAACAAAGGCAACACAACATTCGTTCAACAAACATTAACTGGTTATCAACTCTGTGCCAGATGCTTAAACTCCACCAGGTATACTAAGGTAGAGACGTCCTAGTCCTCCAGAGGTTCAGACTAGTAGAGGAGACTAGAAAGTAACAAGATGAAAAGTACCCAGAAAGCTTTGGGAACACAGACAATGACTCTAACTCTCTTTGGGGGAGGGGGCTAGTAGGGAAAAATTCACTGAATAGACAAGCAGGAGTTTCAGCAATGGACAAGGTGGGGAGTGGCCTTAATGGGAAGAGGGAGCAGCATGTGCGAAGGTGCAGAGACATGAAGCTCTGCAGTTAATCTACAGTGGTGGACAGCAGGTGCACGTTAGACGTGCCTAGACGTGATGCTTTAAATTGGGGGTGGGGGAGGCCCGTGGTAAAGAACACACAGGGCCTCACAATCTCCACATCAAAAAGTTTAGACTCTAACTCTCAAGCTATGGAACACTAATCAGAGATTGTAAGTAGGAGTGGCATGCTCAGAAAAATATACAAGAAAGCTCATTCCAGCAGGACAGACTTCTAAAGGGTAACAGTGGAGATAAAGAGATTAATTACAGAGCCAATACTGTTAGTCAAGATGGGCATGATGACAAAAAAATACAGATTCAGATTCAAGACATATCGAGGCGGTAAAAATCAAACAGAACTACTGGCTATGGGGATGAGGGCAAGGGGAGTGTCCAGGATGACGTCCACATCTCAGCGTGGTGGAGTGACAACAGTGATGTCCCACACAAGTAACACAGGAACACAAGGCCATGCAATCATTCGAGCAGCATGAGCACCCTGGGCCAGGAGCCGGTTTGCTACAATCTGGAGAAAGGGGATGAGGGAAGCAGCAGGGAAGAGGAGCACAGATGAGTCTTGTGTAACATAAGGTGCCTATTCAGTGACACTTCTGAGTGGCACGTGAAGAAGAATGGACTAAGAGAGTCATTAGCTCACAGGCAACAACTGAAGGCAAGGGGAGTACACAATGAGATCAACTTCAGATACCAAAATTTAATGAGGGGGTGAAAGAAAAATCTGAAAAACAAGTTAAGAATTGATCAGAGAAGTAAGAGACGAATCAGGAGATACGGTGATGCCAAAAAGGCAAGAGAAAAAATTCAAGAAGGGTGGGGAGGGTGAAAACTAAAGTTAAATGTACTGCATAAAGCAAGTTTACTAACACAAGCTGTTCAAAACAGGAAGAGACTACCTTGGGAGGTAGTGCAGATAGTCATCTAGGCAGGACATTGACAAGGGAATCCTTTCTTTAAATGACAGGTGTGGCTACATGACATCTGCAGCACACCTCTGCGGTCTAAGTCAGGCTAGCTAGCCTCAACACCATTATAATTCGTCAAATACTTTTTTGCAATCTGACCAATTTGGTTATTCTGATAAAAGCTAAAGAAAAATAATTTCTACATATTTCATGTAACTCATAAGCAACCAACACCGGATTAAAACTTTTCACTGATTCTGCCCTTGGGGCATAAAACGCTGCTGGACAAAGTGTGGAAAGAGCGATCTAGTCTCCTTCAAATTCAAACTGGTTTCAAATGAACTCTCAACACTGTCTTCCTAACTTTCTCCATTCCTGCATCCCAATTCCACTTCATTACCATTCCTTAACCCCTTCGACTGATTAGAGAAGACCTCACAGCATGCCTGGGCTGCTCTGTCACGTTCTTTCCTTAGGTCCCTACATATCTTTTCCGTAATCTGCCTGCCCTTCCTTCCTTCCTAAAACCAGATTGTGTGTCAAATCACTTCCAACCCTCCACCACCGCTGACCATTTTCTATCACCAGTCCTTCCCTCTTTTTCCTCCACCTCCTCATGTCTATACATCCACCCTAAAATTGAAAAAATACTCCATTTACTCTGTTGTCTCACACCCTGTTTTTTCCCTTTCACTACCAAATATCTCCATTCCCTTACCACCTACTCACTACTCACTGTAATCCCCTGTAAAGGTTTCTGAGTCTGCCCCTCTGGGAAAAAAAAAAATTAAAACTACTGACAAATGACAACTGACTTACTGAAGCTTGTTCCAGTTGCCTTACTCAGTTCTCAATTCCCTTGATGTCTCTGCAACTTAGGAGAGAACTGACCAAGACCCTTACTGCAGTTACTCCTTTTGGTTTTGTAATAAGGCAGGATGGTTTGTGGAAAGCACTCTATAGAGAATCAGAAGATTTGTGTTCTAGACCCAACTATGCCATTAATTAGTAGCTGTGAGCCTCCCCACCTCCTCTCTTACGCCTAAGATCTCACTTCTGAGACACCCTGACACCCAGACTAGGTTAGGTCCCTGCAGTATAAACTTTCGAAAAACCTATTCTCCTTTACAGTGCTTATCACAACTACTTAATTACATAATTAGCAGTTGAATGTCTATCTTTCCTACCCGCATACCAGACTGTAAGCTACATGAAGGCACAATTCAGCAACGGATTGCACCTCATCAGCGCACAATAAAAGCCTATCAATTGAATGAATGGTGAAATAGATGCTATGACCACTTCCTAAGACTGCTTATTATTTTTATTAACCTAAGAAATAAAATTACTCGCACTATATTTACTTACAAAATTACTGACAAAAATTTAAATATAAATTCCAATTACCTAAAACATACATAATATGAACTACATATAAAATTTTACATGTAAAATTAAGTAAGAGAGAACTTGTTTTCCAAGACAGTGACATTTGTCTTGCCCATCCACAAGAGTAGAAAGGGCTAGATCAGTTCTACATTTCAGGACCAAAATGTGTATTCTAAACCATGTTTAGTCTGCATGTGCAAGTGAGAGCTTCATACTAAAACACTATTGTTTGCATAGTTGTTTAGATAATACCCATTGGTACTTTAGGTTTAAATAAAGCTCTTGACATTGGCAAAAAAGACAGGAGCTATATTATACTCTCCAAGACAATCAAAAGAAAGTTTATCAGCTAAGTTCACTGCAGTGTGATTTTAAATATTTCACAGAAATCAGGGGGAAACAATAGGTAAGTGATTAGAAGCTGCCACTGGGTCTAATAAGATGACTTGCAAATGCAAAATGTCAGATCTCAAGCAAGTAGGTGAAAGTTTTGTCAAGTTTAATGATACACCACCTTGGTCAAACAATTTAAACAGATTACATGCTAATCTGCCCTTCAACTGCTAAGTGTATACGGTTGCTCAACTACACTGTAAGGTCTTTACAGAAGAGTTTGGCGTTTTGTTAATTGCCCACCCCCCTTATATAGAAATGCAGGTGATTTCAATAATCTGTGATATTTTTTAAACCTGAAAAATGGCTTTTGAAGCTAAACATATTTATACATTATTGCCACTTGAAAACAACGTATAAATAAAATCCGATGCTTAGACAATTCCCCAGGTTAAGAGCAGTTAACAGGCTATAAATATAGTTGTAATCCCCAGGAAAGAAGCATTTCATAACGGAAACACTAACAGATATATAATCACTTGGAGCCGTTCTCCAAGGCGCCCTCCTCGTTAAGTCAACACCACTGGTTGTGAAGGAGCAATTGTGCCCCTCTGACACCCTCTCTTCCTTAGCCTTGGGGCTACAATCCCCACACGAGGAGTCCCGCGAGGTCGTCCAGCGCTTCCCTGGGACTTCAGCTGGGAAATCCCTGGCCAGGGAAGGCGAAGTTCAAGCTCCCCTCTCCCTTCCTTTCCTGAAAATTAATGAATTGGCCGTACGATTGTTTATTTAATGAGGTGTGTAGTGGCCTCTACTGGTGCTTGTGTGAGCACAAGAATGTCCCACTCTTACAAGTGGGATGAGCCTGGGGGAGGGGAGGGAGGCAAGGGGTGAACCTGCCTGCGGGTACAAAGCGCAGAACTAGACCCGGGAGCCCCCGACGCGCCCCCGCGGCCGCCCCTCCCCCGGCGGCGCCCCCGCCCGCCCACTTCACTCTCCACCCTGCGCGACCCCCTTTCTCTTCCGCAAGCCGAGACCAGGCAAAGTTCCTGCACGTTTTCTCCTGGATCCTAAACAAAACACCGCAACCGCAGTGGGTGCCGGTGCGGCGCCCCCGCCCCCACCCGCGCCTGCCGGGCCCGCGACCCGCGGCCGCCGCTTACCTGGGGACTGCGGCGGGAAGCCGCTCCTGGCGGCCGCGGCGCCCGGCGCCCGGCGCCCGAGCAACAGCAGCAGGCAGCAGAGCCAGAAGGAGGAGGTACTGAGGAGTCGCCGGGCTCCCCGCTCCGCCGCCATCTCTTGCCCGCGAGCGGCGGCGGCGGAGCGCCGCGGAGCCGTCGCCTCCTTCCCTCCCGCGCGCCTCAGTCGGTCCCTCGCTGCAGGCTCGGCTCTGGCGGCCGCCGCCGCTGCTCCAGCCCGGCCCAGCCCGGCCCGCGCGGCCCCTCTTGCTGGAGGGGAGACTCGGGGGCGCCTCCCTCCTGCAGGGGGGCGGAGAAGGAGGAGAGCAGAGAGGGGGGATCAGTACATTCCGGACCGAAAGGGGGGGGGTGCAGTGGGTCGGTCTCCAGGTTCCAGGCGCCGCCACCCGCCGCCGACTCCGACTCCACACACCAGTGTGAGGGGGGCGGAGACCGCGGGGGTGGGGGGCGGGGGCCCGGGGCGCGCACCCACGCGCACGCGCACGCGCGCCTCCTTCACCCGCACCCCTTCGACTCCAGCGAGGCCCGCCCCCGCTCCAATCCCGGCAGCAGCCTGGCGGGCCGCGGCTGCGGGCCCGCTCCCCTCCCCCCTCTCCCCGGAGCCGCGGACGGGAGCCGGGCGCGCGCCGGGAGCTGCTGCTGGCGTCAGGGAAACCCCGGAGAAGCGGATCCTCCTCCTGCTCCCCGCGTCCGCCCGCTCGGCGCAGCCCCTCGGCCCGCGGGAGAAACTGCCCCCCGCTCACCTCCCGGACGCCTCCGGTTGCAGAGACCCGAGGGCGACAGGCGCTGCGAGACCGGGAGGCCGGAGCGGACGCGCACCTCTCTCCGCAGCCCGGGCCCGGGGCCTCTATATAGGGCCTCAGAGGAAACCGAATGGCCTCCGGGAGGAAACCTGGGTGCGCGAGGGTCGGCGCGGGGATTAATGTGCTCGCCAAAAACAATAGTGATCCCGCCCGGCTCTGGCAGGGATCTGGCGCGGCTCCCGTGGGAAGAGGCCGTCGCGCCGCCGCTGACCTCCCGCTTCCCAGCCGGGCCGCCCTCCCCGCGCGCTTCCCCCGGACAGTGCCGGGGCTCGCGTCCCACCCGCGTCACTCGGCCCGGGTCCAGGGAAGCCGGGCACAGACAAAGGTGCTCGGTGTCCATTCCTCCAGCTCGTGCGGGGGCCCGGGCGAGCCCCAGGACTCCCCGGCTGACCCTCTGACTGTAACTGAAATCTTTTTACCTCCACCTTTGCCGGGCACTTCGCATTTTCGTACCTGGAAATCACGTCTTTCGCCGGAAAACCGGGGAGCAAGAGGGATGTGATTTTTAAGCCACTTGGTAATCGTGAGACAGCACCCAGGCTACCCAAAGTTGGCAGAAAGCAGCTTGTAGTTAGTTACAGTGCAGATGAGGATACCGATAATTTCATAAGCTGCACCCATGGAAAATATTTTAAGAAAAATTTTTTGTATAGTTATGCACTTGGAGAATCACGTTTTGATTGTTAACGCTGAGTTAGTTTTTATTCACTGTATAGTCAATAACCAAAATGTGTAGCTTTCCACAAGAATAGCTGCTTCTCTGACTTCCACATCCCTCTGTGCCTTTTTCAGATATTTTATTCTGAAGTGCCAAAATACACAATATAAAGCTTCCCTTCATCAAACCTCTTAAATCATCAAAACGGTGGAATTAGGAACCCTCATCCCAGTTCTTTAAAACAATTGACTCTTAAAAGGGCAAACACGCTTATTGTTTTCCACTAGGGAAACAATTTAAATATCTTTTTGTTTTGGTTAACGTTGTTAACCATAAAAAATATTTCCTAAATACCCCTGATTGACCTGTTAAATTACAAATAGATTACCTCCCAATTACTTCACAAGTATTTGCTTAATTAACCTTTAATAATCACATCATTATTCAGTTTTCTGAGATAATTAATGGGAAAAGCTCTTTGGAAACTAAATTGCCTCGCAAATGTTAATATTTGGATATATTTTCTAAGTCTGGAAAATTTTCATTATGTTACAACTGTAAAATACATACTATAACTTTTAAAGTGAAGCTTACCTTTACCTCTAAGTAAAAAATGTATCCGTCGTGGCTAATAAGATAATCAGATTGATTTTCAGGTATGACGTCTGTGAACTGTGTCATTAGTTTAGCCCACTGTGTATACCAGGTTTAAATCAAAATTTTGTAAAGCACTTGCTGTAAAATAGGCTAAGTCATATTTCTGACTTGTTATTAAATCACAATTTTAAGCAAACCCACTATAATAAACCACTATAACAAATAGATGGAGCCCCAGAATAAAAGTTACAGATTTTATATCAGTTCAAGAGTAAGATAGTAAAGTAACCCAGGCACACACTTGAATTCAGATCCTTAACCTTATTTCAATGTAACACATTTGTGGACATTCCCTTTAAAAATCATTATCTGGAGTCATTATCTCTCCTTTCTTTGGTAAAGCATCTCTGAGAAAAGATTTTCTTAGCCGTCTTATTTATCATTTTTACTCTCCCAACAAGATTGTCAACTAAGATTGTCCACATTTATACTGCCAATCAACTTATTTTTATGTAGTCTAAACTATTAATCTATGAAGAGATATTAAACCACTTGTGAAATTAACACTTGTTTCATCTAAGTAAAGTTAGAGCATGAGGCCCGTGTATAAGGAATCGTGCACAAAGAAACTTTTAAAGCAAAGAAAACAGGCTGGCCATTGTATGTTAGTATACCTTATCAAAGTGCAGGCCAAAAATAACTGGACCAAAATATTTTTGTGAAGTTTATTTCAAGTGCACTTTGATATAAAATTAAATGATAAATCAATAAAGCCTATGAATGTAAAACATGGTCAGAATCTTATTCCCTATAGTAAAAAGATTATTTTCCAACTTTTGAGAGGCAATATAGTTCAGTGTTCAATTGCTGGTTAGATTCTGCTGCTGATTCCTGGCTGAACCTCAGTATCCAAGGTAGAAAAGAAAGCAAGTAAATCCCAGCATAGAACATTTCCTCATCACAGCAAATTTTAACTAGGATTTACCCATGTAGTAAGAACAAGATTTTCTTCTGCACAGATGTTGACATTTTTACATTTGCCCTTTACATTCTGTTAGGTAAGAGTTTTCATTCCTTTCTCTTCCAAAAGCCACCTGTTCTAGGGAGTCATCTCTGATTAAGCCTAATTAAGAAGGATATGTGCTCCTCAAGGATGAAACTTACACCATATTAATTTGACTTGTTACATGTTGTTTAATCATTTATCTGTGGTTCAACAACAGTCTTAATTCAACAGATATTATTGAGAACCTGTTACTGGCCAGCTATTGTGCTGGGTGCTGGGATAACAAAATTATTGGATCATTCGTTTGATATTTATAAACTATGTCTCAGGTCCTGCCCTGGGATATGGAACACAAAGATGAGCCAGATAGACAAGGTTCCCAGTCTAGCAGGAAAGATAAACAATTATAACAAAGAAGTGTGAAGAGTGTTATGGTAAGGAAAGATAAGGACTGTGGGAAAGCATCGTAAGAGCATCTAACCTGACTAAATTGTGGGGGGCGGGGAGGAGGTATAGGGAACTGGAGAAGCAGCACTGGTCTCTAAACTGAGACCAATTAGCATTTTAGAAGGATCACTCAGGCTGCTTCCTGGAGTGTAGGTTGAAAGGAGAGAAGAAAGAAAACCTGATTTTGTTGATCAAGGGTAGCCTGGAGAGGAGATGCTGGAGTAAAGCAGGGAGGATTAAGAGAAGTGAACAGATGAGAGAGATTCAGGAGATAGAAACAACAGGGGTGTGTGGAAAAGAGACATAGGTGACTCAGGTTTCAGCTTGGGCCTCTGACTGAGGGTGGCGACGTGCACTGGGAAGAGAACAAGGATAGGAGCAGATGGGAGGCAAAGTGAGTTTAACTTTGGACAAGTTTAAAGTGCCCATGGGAATTTGAGTAGCAATATCTGTCAACTGCTCACTATTTGGGTCTGGAGGTTAGCAGGGAGAACTAGGCTAGGGAGATGTGTCATTAGTTTATGCCATATACGAGTAAGCCCAAATATAAGGTACCTCTGATTATAGGGTGAGCCCCCATTTTTCCAAGTAAAATTCACCCCCTAATAAAATTTTGTGGCCAACTTGAATGCATAAACTTTTAGACATACTCATATAGATAAAAGAATCAAGGATCTACTTACAATGTTTAACATGCTAATTATGCTTATGTACTTTAAATTACATATAACAAAATATAATTTCAAAATATAATTTTATTGAAATGCCTCACAGTGTTTTTATCATCTGCAGGGTCACATTTTGAATCTCTGACATAGTTTCCCAGGATACATCATCTTCACTTCCACCCAAATTTTGACTCTGTATGTGATGTTGTCACTGGGAATTTTATTCCAGGCCACAGGATCTAATCACACCACATCTTTCATCCTGTAAGCATGCATTTATATTGCTTTCTATAGTGACTTTTAAAGGCTTGTTTACAAGGACATCTGACACTTGCAAATGTGGAAGTATTTCCTTAGAGGTAATTTCTAAATCTGTGTTAAAATTTTTCTTTGTTTCCTTCCTTACCAATTCTATCAGGTGGCTTCTGTATAAACAGTGACGAGATCATTTCCTGCTAATGTATATTCCCCCAAAAAACATTTTGCTGCTCAAAATAATTGAGGGAACACCCAGTAACATGGAGGACTTTGTAAAGGTCAGAATAAAAGGCGACTCCCTCTTTTCTAAGGGATTACTGCGGGGTGGGGTGGGGTGGTTTTATATTCAGGTGTATATGATCATGCCCAGATAACTATTGGGTTGTTGGAAAAGTCATGATGTATTTTTGCAATGAAAAACATAGAAAAAAAATACGTCATGACTTTTCTGACAACCCAATAGTTGAGATTGTCCCAGGCAAGTTCAGACTGAAGAAGAGGATTGAGGGCTAGGACCAAACACCAGCACAGAGGAACTTGCAAAGAAACAAGCAGGTGTATAAAAAGAAAACCAGAAGCATCCAATAATCACAGAAGTCAAGGAAAGAAGTGTTTCAGGAATGCAGGAGTGGTCAATAGTGTCATGTGCTCCTGGGAAGTCAAGTAAGGTAAGACCTGAGAAACCCACTGATTTAGTGATAAGGCGGCAAGGGACAACCTTAGTAAGTGCAGTTGCAGCTGAGAGTAAGGCTTCCCACCTGATGGTTATGGCTTGTCACTGAGCACGAACGACTTCTTCAAGGAGTTTACCTGTAACAAGAAGAAAGAGTGGGGAAGTCTAGAATGGATTTTGCTAAAAGGGAGTGGACTTGAGGGCTGATATAAGGAGCCAATAGAGAGGGAAGTGTTGAAAGATTCCAGGGAGAAAGAAGATAATTGATAGCTTTCGATACACTGTAGTAGATAATTTGGCAGCTGTAATTCAGCAAGGCCCATGATTATCTGACCTCAGTAGTCTCAAGCAACTGGCAATAGGCAAAAAGGACTTCGCAGAACAGAGTTACACCCTGGCAATGTGGTTTCCAGGCAGCTTTCAGCTGTATCTGAGCATGTTCCACTCTCGTAACACCTTAATGAAGGCTGAAAAGAAAAAACTACTGGCCAGTCCTCTATCCTCAAAGGCCACATGGCCGGGTCCTAACAGACAGCAATCACCAAGCAAGGCGGTCCAGCTTTCCATCAAGAATGACAGGACCTTGCTTTCTGACAGGAACCAAACACAAAATACTATCTTAAGCAGAAAGAAATCTTATTGGAAGGATCCTGGAATCTCAAGACAAGGATGTAGGCAGACCTCAGGAATAGAACTAGAGACAGGGCACCTAAAAAGGCCCAGAAAGTCCTCTTTTGGAGAGTCTCTTGTATGTTTTGGGAAATGTTGGGCGTTTCCTTCGCACTGCTCTGGACTCAGCTGTATCCAATTGCCTGCCTTTAAGCTTACATATAATACACACACACACACACACACACACACACACACACACACACACACGCACAATCTGCTCTCCAACAGGGAGAGCTGAATTAGACAACATAAACACCTCAAGAAGCTCATTTATTCCTTTAACTGATGTCCTACTATAAGAGCTACCTGTTTTGATCCCTTTCTCTAGTCATACTGAGCCATCCTGAACTAAGAAACTCCTAAGCAGAAGGCACCCCCAAACCTACCACTAACTGTAAAACAAAATAGAGAGTTGCCTATCTCCAGGTTCTGCTGTAAAAGGGATCGATGAAATGCTATTCTAGGTCGGCCTTTTCCTGCCCTGTATATTGCCATGCAATCTCATCCCAGGTGGTGAAATTGGTGGGGAGAGAAGGGGGAAGATCAGGGGCAGTGTGGCTAACAGATGGCCAGTGAAGTCACCCAGGATGGCAGGCATGGAGTGGTTGGAGTGGAGAGAAAGAATGTAAGCCACTTTACTCTTAAGATAGCTGAGAAGTGACTCAGAAGTGAGTCATTAGATAACAGAAAAAAAAAAACAGATTATGAGCTGGATGCCATGATTCTCAAACTCAAACAAAATTCTTGTTTTGCTTGGGATTTTTTTGTTGTTGTTGTTTCTTTCTTAGAAATGTAAGTGAAATGGTGAAAAGTGTCAGTGGAGACCTAGGTGAATATTAACACCACCTAATGGTCACTTGAGATCTGAACAAAAGAAGTCCACAGGAGAAGTGGCCTCAGGAGAGAATCAGGTTTCAAATAAAGCAGGAGATGGGGTGCCTGTGCAGAGACTAGAGAAACTGAGGTGTTTGTTTACAACCCAATGGGACTTCCACGGAAACAGAGGAAGTGGTTGGAAAGGGGGTTCAGCACTGAGCTTGCATGGGGAGAAAGCACAGAACATAAAATGAACTTACAGGACAGTGACCACTACAATAAGGGGTTCTGACTCAGCGGTGACACTAAGCCAAAATATCATGTTGAGAACTGTGGACTGTGAGTAGCCCAGCCCAGCCTTTGGTGTTTGGGTCAGTAAGTGGAGGCGCAAGGGTCAGAGAAGAGGCCTGTTGGCTACTCGCATGAGGGCTCTAGATTCTGCACACCACCCTCAGGTGGACAGCCAAGAGTGCAGCAGCTGGGCAACAGTGGAGGAGCAGTAGTGACCCAAGGGAAAATGCGAGAGAGGTTCTTCTACCCCAGAAGTTCAAGGGTGTTGCTCCCAGGAAGGAAAGCCCCCTGCCACTTAGCCCAGGGATCGCAAACATAGAATCACCCAGGGACTATGTTTAAAACACACACAGATTCCTAAGGCTCACCTCAATCCTTCTGAATTAAAAACTCCCAGAGATAGGCCTCAGGAATCTGTATTTCTGAAGTCACTCGATGGCTTCAGAATTTCTACATAGGAGGAACTCAAGGGTGGTGATGTAATTGGAAAACAGAAGTAGTGACTCAATGGATAACCACTTTATAAATAATTTTCATATTCTTAAGCTAACACTTATCTAATTATACTAAAAAAAACACAAAAATTAACTTATAAGTCCCTATTTTTAGTACTTTTGCTGTTCCTCCTCTCTTTTTCGTACTGTCATTACTTTAATTTGAAATCATTGGTGATTTTAAAAACTGGCCCTTTTGATGTTGCACTTATCAAATTTTCCAATATTAAATGAATGCATGTTCTGGAACACCTCGAAAATGCCCAAAAGTAGATACAACAAGAAAATCACCCGTATCCCCTCCTCCCACAACATTCTTAACATTTGGCTGTATCTCCTTCCATTTTTACTTCTCTCCACAAAACTTCTTTTTTTATATTTGTAATCATAATATATATAGAAAAAGTAACTTTGTAATCTTTTCTCTATGTAGTTTCTTACACTAGTTTCTAACTGAGTAAG